CAATCTGGGTCAGGAAAATATTACTATATAAATATCAGTTATTAGCTCTTAATTACACAATGAATTTTGACCCAATCATGTCATGGTTCCCCTGTCACACTGCGATGTAGCATGGGGCAGGAATGACTGCCTCCTTTTACCCAAAGGTTGCAGAGAAAGTCAAATCACTTGCCATGAACAGTGGTGAATCAGTTGAAAGCTTAGTAAGAAGCTGGAATTCATTATTTCCCGCTCAGGCAGTGTTTCATTAGGAAACCTGCCCTTATTTATCCTTGTTATCAGAAGCTGTGGCAGGTGTCCCCAATTGGAATACCATGACAAGCAATTCTGTTCCTGGGTGATGCTAAAGGCAGAAAGAACAAGAATTCACAGGCTCAGCACCCAGAGCCCAACCCACCCTAAAGATGCTGCTGGGAGGGGGCCCACGGAGGGTCTTCCAACTCACAGCCTTGGCCAGGGGTGGAAAGCAGGAAGTTTCACTACCAACTACTTTTGTGGTGTATTGAGTCTCACAGATTTGTCATTCAGTACACAGCTTCTCTCTGCACAGCCCACACAGCTAATCCCTGTACTATATTTCTCTCAGCTTTCCCTCCTCCACCCACATTTCTGCTGACTTTTCTCCACACAGGAGAGACAGAACAGCTGAGGAAGCAGCCGAGCGGTGGAAAATTTTTGAAAGTGTTTTGAGCCCACCCAACCTGAGGAGAGCATTCAAAGAAAAACAGGAAAGGGTGAGTAGGAGCTCCCTCAACCTCCGCACACAAGCCAGGGATTGTCACTCCCGCCCACCCCCAATCCCAACAGGGGCCGACTGCTGGGACCCAGCCACAGTGCCCACACACAAAAATATGCAAATATGTTTTTTGTGAGGATTATGGAATGGAGGCAATTGCTCGACTATTTCAGACACTGCGTCATGGATCTTGGGGGCACAATAGGCTCATTCCATTCAAACACCCACCATAAGAGTTCAACCACCACTTTCAGTCTTAAATTGGAATATCTGGAGGCTATTATACTGGGAGGATAAATGCAGGTTTGAAGATGGATATGTTTCTGTTCTGGTATCCAAAATTAGACTCCCTTATCTAAAGGGCAGTCAGTACCCTCCGTGTGTGTTTTCATATTACTCATCCTTTAGTCCGTTCTTTTCATTTCATTTCAACTTCTCTTCCTACTCCAGACCAGGGCTTTTAAAGCGATCTGTCATTTTAGGGAGTGGGGTGAGAAATAGATGTGAACTCATTTAGTTCTTAGTTTTCTAGTTCATCCTCTGCTAGAGATTCCAGCCAGATGGGTTGGAATTGGCAAGAGTAAAAAGAGATTGGCTAATTCCAATGTTCATCCACTCATTCATTCAATAAAGAGATATTTATTATGGGTAAAGTCCTCATCCTCATGAGGCCATACTGAACTACATCAAAAAAAATAATCTTTGGTCCTATTTATTACTCTTCAGTGACCTCTAGATCAAGTTTTGGATCAGGTTTAGCATAGGATTTTCTGCATGAAACCCAGTGCCTATGTAAGGATTATGTAACCAATGGCTAAAGAAGATTATAAGTGCCTTTTCCTATGAGTGATCTATGAATAGGTTTCCAGGCTACTTATTTGACTAATTATAATCTCTTAGTGAAGTATCCAAAGAACAAAATTAACTGATACCTCATTCTTTACTTTGTTGGCACAGCTTCTTTTTTCCAATTTGAATACAAAATTATCCTCAAGGCTGGCTTTACTACTTTTCTAGTTGGTGTTAGTATTATATATTCAATGCGAATTGATATTTATCCATTCAGGTAATGCATCTCTAATTATGCCAGACATTATCCCAGGCACTAAGGCTATAGCTTTTCATAAAATTCCCTTCATGAAGTCAACAAGTGAGTGGGATCAGACAACTCTTGGTTTGCTCAGACAACTCTTGGTTTGCTGTTCTTTCCAAGACACAAAATATGTAACTTTAATTATGCGCTGTGCAGAAAACCAAAGTGAAGAATGTGGTTTAATAGAACAGAAAAATAGGGATTGTTTGCATTTGTTGGTTAGGGATAACCAAGTTTTGAGGTTTTCATTTTATCAAATCTACTGTCTAACTAGTTGTATGTAGGTGATAGCTTACAGACTGAGCAATAAAGACCATAATTAAGTAGTCAATATTTTATAGATTTTTAAACCATTAGACACTGTGAGGAAAGTTTTAAAGCTCATTGTAAGAATCAGGTGGTCAACAGATCTAAGATATGTGGTCATTTATTTTCTAATAGACTCTTAGAATTGGAGAACCAAGGGACACAATAATTTCTGCAGGCCTAAATCTCTGAGATTAAGTATAAATTATTTCATAGTCTGCTGATGCCAAATTTGGGTTATAAGAAATAGAGCTTCTTATATCAATAAGGGATGGTTCTGATGCACCAGCATTAGACTTAGCAAATGAGAGTAGTGATTTGTGGCCAACAAAATTTTTCTTCCTTCAAAAAAATCATCTAGTGTGACAGACAAAACAATATCTCTCAGCAGAGATCCAGAGGCTGGAGAGTCATCTCTGGGTTGTGAATTGGCCATAACATTCTGCTTCTTGGCACCAAGGGATCTTTTAGCACCTAATTGGAAAACAGCTCCATCTCCAACAGAGCTCTAAATTATCCACAAGGCTCTCTGGAATTTCCCTTCATCACTAGGCTTTCTGGATTATATCCATTTACTAACAAAGGATCCTTGCATTGTTGTATAACTACTATAAACTTCAGCTTACCTACCTTCTCCAGTACTCTCCTTTAACCAAAAGCAAACAAACAAACAAAACCCCACTGGCAAAGTTTCAAATAGAATATACTAATGACAAGCCTCATGTGTTAATAAGTTCAACTTTAGTCTTAATGAAAGTGGTGACTGGAAACCGTTTCTTCTATAAAAATGAAACTGTCATTGGTTTACTTGGCTCTGATAGGATTTATTTTGAAGGCATTGCATTGTTAATATCAAATTGCCTCTCTTTTTTTTTTTTTTTTTGAGGGTCCTAGGTTGATCAGGGAATGAAAAGGTATTAGAATATTACTGCATTCTTTCTTTACAACTATGATTTTTATATGACAAAGGGAACTAAGTATATATAACTGCCAGTTGTCAGGCTGCTGGGGAATGCTAATAACACAAGTTTAAAAACAAGTAGAAAGAGTAAGACAGATTTGAATTTGAATCCTGAAACAAACTCTCACTCTTTCATACATACAGTGGACAAACTATTTAACCTCCCTGATTATTATTTAATGGAGATCATCATCTCCTTCAGAGGATTGCTGAGAGATTTAGCATAGCTTGGCTTGCGGAAGCCAGTCAATGGACACCATTTCCTCTTCCCTTCTCCCCATAGCCACATTTATGAGATGATACCAGAGTTCCTGCATGAGGTGACTACTAGCTTTTAAGGTTTCCAGATTTATGCTGATTTAAGAATCCAACTGTGATGATATTACTTATGCAAATACCAGCTGGGGACTGATGCCATACCAAGGATGAGTCAGAGCAATCCTTAACAGTCTGATCCTGCCTCACAGAGAACAGGGTTTTCCTCACTGATGGTGGGGAATGATGAGACTTGGGCACTCCTGATACAATGCTCTCAGAACATCAAGAGTTTTTTGTAGAGATGGTCCAGGACTCCTCTAAATGACATTTAACAGGGGTTAGAAGCTTAGGCTTCTAACAGGCTTAGAAGCTTTGAAATCTAACAAAATAGGGTTTGAGTCCTGATTGTTACTCTCTACCTGAATAGCTCCTTCAAAGTATCTGTTTTCTCTGAGTTCTTCTGAGGATTAAATAAGGCAAGGCAATAAAACATTTAGGACAGTGACTTGGCACTCTTCTCCCTTCCTTCTCCTCTCCCTTCCTCCCTCCTCTTTCCCTTTTTCTTCTGTCCTGGCCCAAGTTTGCTTTTCAACTACTTGCTGATCATTGAAGAGTGCCCTCTAGCAATGGCACACTAACAGAGATGTTGTTCTTGTACATTTTACTATGTATGTTCTCACTTCTGCTGAAATGCCTACCTCCCACCCACGTACACTCCACTCAACATTAATTCATCCTTTGATCATTATTTTGTGAAGTCTGTCTTCACAAACTTGAAAGAAACTATAATTATTGCTCAGTCGAATGAAACCTCACATCATATCTAAATAGCTGTTGATTGATCATGAAGATAATCAAGAGCTTAAATAACATACTTTATTAAAAGCTCTTAAATTTCTAGCCATTATTTCTAAGTTTCATATCCTACCAAAAGAGTTAATCTCAGTAAACTTGGTTTAAAAACCAAAGCTAAAGCTGTCTCTATAAAAATATGAATATTAACAATAATGATCTGAATATTCATCAAGGAAGTAAAGTTGCCTTATTGATATAGATTGGAGGTTAATAGAACACTATCTCAACAAGGGAATTAACATTTACCGAATACCCCCTAGATGCACAATGTTTTTTTTAATTTTAGTGAGTGAGAGAGCTTCACATTTCTTTTTTCCTAGAAAAATCTCTTTAGGTTCTTAGAGAAGCAGATATATCTCTGATAATATATATGTAATTATCTCCTTTATATTACCAATATATCATGGAAACATTCATATTTATTTACTTTATATACATACTCACTATTACTTTTCTGAGCTAGGTGGTACCTCTTCTGATATAACCACTAAAAAGTACATAACACATGCATAAATCTTACCTAATGACTCAAGTTAAATATACCTCGAAGAATGTTCTATCTTATTAAAATTCATATGCATTTTTCTAACAAGGAAATTATTATTCTGCAATGTAGCATATGTTTTATTGCAAAGTTAGTTTATTGATGAATAGTGGTGGAGCTGCAGATCAAGTCAACAGCATAATTAGCTCAGCAGGATTTAGCTCAGCAGCATAAGCTCAGAGGTAGTGTAGGTCCCTTCAATGGGTGTCAAGCTCTGGGTCGTCTCCCTGTAGAGAAGGAAGTTTACCTGAGACCCTGGCCCTCCGGAGAGTTCTGTCTGCAGTACTCCAGAGTGTAGGTTTCAGTGGCCTCCAGGTTGGCAGGCCGCCATCGGATGGTGGCCCTGTTCCAGCACACAGTGCAGTCTTCTGCACGGATCACAGGAGTGGAGGGTGCTGCAGAGAGAGAACCAAAACCGCTGTGGTGCGATCAATGCCAGAGTTGCTTCCCTGCTGCCCTGGGGCAAATGCTTAGCATGAATTTATTTTAATTTTTGGAAATAATGAAAATCAAAGCAGAAATCAATGAAGTAAAAATAAAAAAGTAATCCAAAAGATTAATGAAACCAAAAGCTGGTTCTTAAAAAAAAAAAAAAAAATCTAATTTTTTTATTAAAAATTGTATTTTGGCCTAAAAGCCCAAAAGGTACAAAAAATTATATAGTGAAAAGTTTGTACCTTCTAAATTGCCTAGTTTTCACCACCCCCAACAGACACTCTACTATTACCTTCCTAAAAATCCTGAGTTTTTTTATACAGATAGATAAAAGCACATAAAAATCAATATTTTTGTCCCCGTCTCTTCACACAAAAGGTAGCCATGATCTTGCCTTCAGTAGGAGTTCAATAAATACTTGTTTTAAAAGGCAAGAGAAAAGGATAAAAGGGTGGGGCTAAGCAATTTCTTCCTCTGACAAATTATTGTAAGGCAATGCAAACTTGACTTAAGCTCCAGCCCCTTGTGAAAAGATTACATCACAGGAATGCAATCCCACCTGGATTCCATAACCTTTTGGGTACTCCTAGGACCCCTGTGATGATCCCAAGCTACTTACCCTAGCAAACATGGCTTCTACACACTAACTGTTCTGGCCTCATATTGTGTCTGTCCTTGTTTTTAAGTCAAAGAAATAACACTAATCTTCTTATTGTGTCCTGCATACTCCAGACTGGTTTTTATCTCAGTGCTTCTGCTCATCTTAACCCTTCTTTAAGTGAAAAATGCTCCTTTAACAACTTACTTCCTTCTGATCCTTGGGAGGATTTCTTTTAGGTACCAGTTCTGGGAAGTCATTCTTGATCCTTCCCCTAGGCCCTGGGCTGTAGTGAGTACCCCTCCAGAGTTTTCTGATTATAATTTGTGCATGACTAGATAACAGCCCTTACCACAAATTGTTCTGATCTTCTGTTTCCTATTTCCCCCAACTTGATGACAAACTTCTTGAAAACAGTAATCATGTCTCATTCATCGTTGTATACACAGTATTGTAAAACACCTAGTATGCAGTAGGTGCTTAATGAATGCTATTGGCTGATCTTAATAATCTGTGAAGAATTGAGTATTGCCTCCTAAAACCCCCTTACCATCTCCTTACCTGTTCTAAAAATTGCTCTTTCACTGGGCAGGCTACATCCAGTAAAGTTCACAGCCATTACCCACACTTGATAGCATCGATCAGGTTCCAAATCTTCAAAAACGCAGTAGCTTTCTTTCACTGTCACTCTGTATTCTTCTACCAATTCTAGCATAAAACACAATCATAGCTCTAAGATGTTTTCTGAAGTTAATTGAAAGTTATAGTTATTAGAAAAATCAGTCTGTGACTTTTTACTAGAGGAAAGACTATAAACTTACAGAGATCATTGTGTGATCGCTAGTGCTTTAGAACATATAAGAAAGCAATAACATTCTCAAAAGAGATACTTAGAATGACACAGTATTACTTGTAAACACTTATCAGAAAGTAATAGCATATTAGCAAAATCATGAACTTCACATACCACAATTAAAGTAAGTTATTCCAATAGCAAATACTAAAATTGCAGAGTTTCTGTTAGCTTAAATTCCGATAATACATTCTCAAGAACATTCTTAAGAAACAATGCCAATACTTCAGGAGAATATGTAATAAAGACAATCACATGTTTTCTAAACTTATGATGTTATAAAACATCTTTACAGATTAGTAGACTATTTCAGTATGACTTTTCAAATCTTGGTTCCATCTCATGAATTCCAGACTTTTTTCAACTAGAGATTTCACAATTTCCAAAAATACTTGAGTTTGACAGGTCATAAGCTATTCTAAGGAGCAACTTTATTCAATCAAAACATTGCCTAAAATCCCTTATTTTAATTTCAACATTTTATTAGTAAATATTATTCAATACCATTCTGAACATCTGCCCCTTTGAACCAATCTGAATATCCTTATTGAAATTTCCTTCCCTTTAAAAAGAATGCTTTGTAGATTAGCCTACGGTGATTTCAGTAATCCTCACTTTATTACCCTTGAATGTCATATCTTCCAAACTCCTTCAGTTTAGAAACTCAGATTATTTCCTTTAAAAATAAATTTAGGAGTTCTTCAACACAGCAAGAGTCTTCAATTGCACCTCTCTTTCCCAATGAGGTATACTTTCTGGACAGGAAATTTGGTTTAAAGAATGCCATAGGCCTTACACACTGAAAAACAATTTCTTCACTGCCTAGCAACTGTGACTAGGTGGAATCTAGCCTACAAGGATGGAATTATCCTTTTAAACAATGCACATAACATAGTATGAGACCTCTTCAACAGAGCACAGAATGACAGTATAGATGACCAGACTAACAGGCATCAGTAAAGTTCAAGGCATTGCATGAATGAACACAGGATAGGTAAGTATTTGGGGGATGAGGGGAGGAGGTGAAGCGCTCCAGATAATAACTGTTAAGAGGAGTCTTGGAGAGTCATGACACTCCATGAGATAGCTGTATATAGAGGGATACAAAGTGTGGTAACATAAATTAAACAGAGAGAGAAGCAAGCAAAAACATAAGCTTTGGAGTCTGAAAAATCTGTGCTTGAATTCTGCCCCTCTCATATTTAAGTTGTGTGGCCTTTGAACCAATAACTTACTATCACATCAGTTTGCTCATTTGCAAAAGGGGATAATGGCACTTATCTAGTGTTGTGGCAGCTATGTGGTGCTAGAGCCCCAATAAAATAGTAGCTATTGTTGACAAACTTAGCCATGGCCAATTTATCTTACTTTTTCATGGCATCTGAAAAGATTTAAATGTTGGTAACAGTGAAATATATTAAAATTCATTCCTCATTACAATTTGTGCCCCTGCATTTTGTAATTGCATGTCCTGCAACACATTCATCTGGTTTCTAAACTATGGATCTGTCATCAACAAGCAACATACATGCTAATATTCCTAGTTCTGATGCATCTGGAAGCACAACCTCAAACTGTTTGGCTTTACAGTCTTAACAGAAGTCTTACAGAACAGAGAATTATTTACAGAGGTTCCACCATAAGACTTATTATACATTCACCCTACTAAGTACTTTCACTTCTATCTGCTCATTCATTTGAAACACCAGAAGACTACATCATGTCTAGGTCCATGCCTTGAGGATTGTAAAGTCTGAAATAACCTTTATGACTTGTTGTACCTTTTATCAAAGGTGGATCTGAGAAAATGCCAATCATGACATCCAATGCTTCATTTGCATTAAAATTACTATGGAATGCACTATTCTGTATATAGCACTCAATTTTTCTCCTCAAATTGACATGAACTACACTTGTCTTCTAGCCCAGTGTAGAAAACTTGTTCTTCCTAAAACACTGAAAATGAGTCATTTAATTAGTCCTGCTATCTTGAGATCAAAGTTAAATTTTAATCTCAACTGCAGCGTTCATAATGACCATGATGATGATATTTATGGCCTTTTGTTTTCCTTGATCCTAATTCCAAATTTTGCTTATATGGCATTTATAATAATGTTGTTGGTTTGTGGTGGTGGTTGCTTTTTTTTAACAGCAAAGTTGTAAATGCTTTGTGGAAAGAGCCATTATATATATATATATTAAATACATACATAAATAAATATACCTCACAATAAAATGCAGAAACATACACATGCACCTGTATTTGTGTTAGCAATCCTACCATTTATATCTTGGTCATCTTGTGGCTCCTCCATGCAGTAAACCTGGAATGAGTCAATGACATCTTCTTTGTTCATGCTCCAGTAAACAGCAATCGTTGTGCCAGTGGCAGAATTTGGTTCCTGAGGTTCTAACCTAGGAGGCTGTGGAACTGGAACATATGCAAGATTTATTATAACCAATGCTGTTATTATTGATTTGTTTTTCTTTTTTGCGAAAGTCACTTATGCTTGTTGAAAAAAATTCAAACCTACAGCCACCTGGACAATGGCACTGTGTCATGGTGGAGGGGATGGCAGTGTTGAAGCAAAACAGGCTGGGAACCAAGGCACAGGATTCTTATAAATGGCCTGATGAGTCCTTTGATGAAATGGGACAGTACACTAGCTGTGCAGCAGTCTATGCAACAGATCATAAGAGCAGATTGCTCCAAGATTGACAAAATTCTTGAACCATCTGAAGGCCAGGATGAAGGTAAATGAAAGTATGAACATTTTAGGCAATTCTGTCTTGAACTAATGGACTTGCTGTCAAACCAGATACAGCAACTGAACAAGGGGTTTTCCTTTGCGCAGCTCACAAAATTCCAAAAGAGTGTCCTGCTACAGACTATACTGGACACATACTTGATGATGCTACATGTCTTCTGAATAGTAATAAATATTTTCCCAGCAGGGTTAGTATAAAGGAATCATCTGTAGCCAAACCAGGATCAGTATGTCATAGGATTTATAGAATATTTTCACATGCTTACTTTCACCACCAGCAGCTATTTGGTAAGTATGAAACAGAAACATTTTTATGTCATCGGTTTACTAAATTTGGAGGATGAAATATAACTTGAGGTACAAGGATAACCTGATTGCAGCAATTTTAGAAGAGGAAGTTCAGAATTCAGCTTCTGGGGAAAGTGAAGCATGAAGGGAATCACATTGTGAAATGTACCAATCACATAATTAACATTAATTATGGACTATATATATGCATATACATATATTAGACACTTCAATCATGTATACATATTATAGCTTCTTTGTTTAGTATAGGACTGATAAATGTTCAGAGACCCTTGTACTATCTTTGACTTTTCTGTTTGCCTGCCCAGCAGGAAATTAGTGTCACAGTCTAAAGGAGTCCATCCAGATAAATACTGTTCAGTACATTTTCATGTTGCCTGGGTTTACTAAAGAGCCAAGCAGAATGCTTCCACAATGTCAATCATCTTTGAAGCAGTGTTAGAGAACTCCTTGAGGCATGAACAACGAAAATGCTCCCTTTTTTTCCCACTATGAATTAAACGTTGAGCTATATCTGCCTTTGAAAAATGATAGCATATTTTAAAAAATCTTTCTCTCTTTAATGAAATTAAAAAACTTTAATAATGTTACCCATGGGGGCCTCCTTGGTGGCACCAGGGGTTAAGCATCACACTATGAAGCAATCTGCAGCCTCTGCAGCACGAGTTCGATCCCCAGCTGGCCAGAGAGAAACCCACATGGCGCAGCAGACCTCTCCTGACTCGCCCGCTGCTCCCCTCAGCAGTGTACTTCAGTTAGTCTGCCTGTTCTGTTCCTCACTCTGTCTCTGGTGAATCCTCTCACCCCCCCGCATCTCTGGCCTATACCCCAGTTCTTGTATGCATAAAAAAATAAATCTTTAAAAAAATAATGTTACCCATGGAACATGGTTCTTGTTGTAACCTTTCCTTTTGTTGATGAGTTAACCTGGTCTTTGTTTGATCTGAAAACCCCCAAACCCTGGCAAGCCAAGTAGGAAGTATCCTACTTCCTCCCCTTACTCCTGCCCCTGGTGATCAACCTATAAAGCCAGGACACCCTCCCCCCCAAGAGCTCTCAGGTGAAATTGTGGCTCAGGGCAGTTGCTGCCCCTCCCCTATTGTGTGACCCACAAAAAAAAATGGGCTTTCCTTGAACTTTGATTGGGTTTCTCTCTAAATTCCTTTTGTCATATCCATGAAGCCAGACAAGAACTCTAATAATTGACCAAAAAAAAAAAGTCAATTAGGCATTAAGCAAAGATTGTAGGCTAGAGATTATTTTTGACCTAATGTACTCCTTTCCCTCAAAATTATTTAAGTGGAGGAGTGGAAACAATGGGGGTTCCCAATGGTCTAGGGTAAAGGGTTATGGGTACTTTGGTGGTGCATGTGGATGGTGACATGCATTTGAGGAGGTGTGAACCTGTTCCTCTAAATCATATATAGTTGCAAATCAATGTTACCTCAATTAAAAAAATAAAATAAAAACAAGACATTAAAACATTTTCAAAAGAATATTCCATAGATGCAATCCTGTAACAATGACAAGATCTGAGTGGCAAAAGAACATCACAGACTCAGATTTAACGCTTAGCAACTCTGTTTACACTCTGTCATAAACTTGAACAGGAATAATGTCAAAAGTGCAAAATGGAATTTTAAGATTTCTTTGCCAGAGACTAAGGAATTGGGGAGCATGTACCCCATGGACCCTCTACCCTCTCTACCTTACAGAGCGAGCATGTCACGATTGAGGAACTAAAAATTAGATCAACTTGGGCTTCAGAATCTGTGGCCAGATACTGATTCCCACTAAAACTCAACTCAAAAAGTCCCCAGGAGAGAAAGCATGATTCACAACACCCAAAAAGGGGAAGCAATCCAAGTGTACACCAATAGATGAGTGGAGAAATAAAATGTATGTGTATATACTATGGAATACTAATTCAGTTTTTAAAGCAAGAGAATTCCAGCATATGCAACAACATGGATGAACCTTGAGGACATTGTACAAGGTGAAATAAGCCAACCGCAAAAAGACAACTACTATATAATTTCACTCAGGTAAGTTACCTAGAGCAGTTAAATTCAGAGACACAAAAAGGAGGTTAGTGGTTATTACCAGGGTATTGCTTAATAGGTACTGAGTTTCAGTTTTGCAAGCTGAAGACAGTTCTGGAGATGGACAGAAGTGATAGTTGTACAACAATATAAATGTACTAACTACATCAAAATGTCTATGATGGGGCCTCCCTAGTGGCTCAGGGGTTAAGTCTTGGCACTATCAAACTATCAGCCATTGCGGCATGAATTCGATCCTGGACAGGGAGCTACCCACATGGCGCAGCAGACCTCTCCTGATTTGCCCACTGCTCCCCTAAGCACTGTATTTCAGTCAATCTGCCTGTTCTGCTCCCAACTCTGTCTCTGGTGAATCCTCTCACCCTCTGTACCTCTGGCCTACACCCCAGTTCTTCTATGCATAAATAAGTAAAATAAATCTTTAAAAAAAGTCTATGATGGTTTTTTGTTATGCGTGTTTTACCAGAATTTAAAAGAAAAGTCCCCAGGAGCCAGAATCAAGGACGCCTTGGGTGTCGCTACTCCGTGGCTCTCGCCTGTCACAGTGTTGCACTCCACCTCTTGGTATAAAGCAGGGGTTTGCATGCCAACACTCTGAAGCCAAACTCCACCACCCCCTCCCATCACACACACACACACACACACACCCTACACAGCTAGGGAAATACAAAAGACATTTTTATGTTCCCTCTATTTCCTCCCCTGTCAAATGAGAATCAATAAAACTAATTTCCGAGAGTGGTTGTGAGTTTAGATGAGAGGAAATGTCTGTCTTACAGTGCCAACACCATGGAGGATGGAAGAATGTTGGGGCTGCTGGTCTCAGTGCAGTAGTCACTTCCTTTCCTCATTTATATCTGTTTAGTTCAGGGAGTGATCAGATTAACTTTTTAGATACCAGGTGAGAATTCCATATCTGAGAGGTTCCGTGGGTAACAAAAATGAACAAAAACTCCTTAGCAGCAAGTCAACACACTGGGCTCCAGGTCTGGTGAGCAGGGGCACAACTCAGGCATTTCTGTCTCAGAGATCCATCTCCCCATAAATGCTTAGAAATACCAGAACTGCCACATGCACTATTTCTGAGTGAATTATTAGCACTTTGTGACAATTTATCCCTGTGATCTCTGAAATATGTAAAATGTCCTCTCCTTGCCCATCAGACAGTCATAAGTATTTCCTTCTAAATGAACACACAGCATCTAACACCAACCCCTTCAAAGCAAAAGATCCATTCACTCTGTTAATCAGAACATCTTAGTTTGCAGTCATTGGTCTATTTAAATGCCTCTTAAAGAAATTACAGGAAAACACCCTTTTGTTTTGAAACATTTCTAGAGAAAATCTGTTAGGATAAATGACTGAACTTTTCACTTTATCTAGAATTGGTGGGCTTCCTTGGTCTTTTTAAAGATACAGTACATTTTACTAGTTTCTAAACTAAAACTCTTCCTGCAGGAATGAGACTTGTTGATTTTAAAACAGCCGCTGTCTTTAAGGTGGTTTTGAGAAAATGCAGGATCTTTTAAGGAGGACATCTGAGTACATTTTACAGTAAGTGAAACTTGGTAACTTCACTGAAACACAGCAGCCTTGAGAAAGCTAAATGAGTTTCATTGTCTTATTTGTTAAAATAGCACATTAAAAAATATTTTGAAGAGCCGGCAGGATGCTTCTGACAGTTGAGTGGGAGGCTCCTGGCTACAGAGCATGATGCTGAGCTGTTAGTTCTCTAAGCTAATCTGTTTAGTTTGAAAAAAGGAAAAAGAACTCAATGGAAGAAGGGAAAGCTACTCATAAGGAAAATTCTGTCCAACACATATGAAAATGTTGATTTATTTTTCCTTCCATATCTGACTCCTGGCATAAAGCAAATAACCTCTAGAAGAAAGGGAGAGAAATCCTATTTTAACTAGAAAAAAGAAAAAGAGGAAAACCTTTGATGCCATTGCCACTCCTTTCCTCTTTAATATCCTAATACAGTTGTAAAGCTCCAAAGGGAGATGGAGTTTATAATCGAAATGGTATTCTAGCCTCATGCTCTATTTTGGAATCCAGCTTTAAAATTTACAATGAAGAGTTTTCTTTTTCACTTAATATTTCCTTGCATTCAAAAACTTGACAAAACAAACAGGGAAAAGCTGCCAGATTTCATCAAGGTAATTAATGTATTAAAATTCCTACCAGCCACTTGTTTCAGCATCTGGTCACTTCTTGCCGAGCTGTCATCATAATGTTCAAAAAGTGAAAATGCAGCAGGCATATTCTCTAAAGAAGCAGTACTCTCCATTGCAGAAAGCAACCTATAAGGGGAAAATATTTCTATGTAGATCAAGAAACATACAGAATGAAAATTAAGAGCAACAGTTCAAATGAAAATGTTGTTGATGAGGTTGATGGTAGTGATAATTTTTTGTGAGGCACTATATCCAAAAAGGATTTAAATTGTTTCAAAGGCTAGAAATACCTGTATAAAACCTACTTATTCTCAGAACCTCATGGTGCTACTGGTAATAGAAATTCCATTCCTATATCCTCAAATCTGACTATGAGTCTTATTTTTTCATTATAAAGTTAGTCCTAACAATGAATACATTTCAATGATTTTTATTTATTTCCTAAGCTATAAAGTTTCAGATGTCCTTGCTGTTCTTAACCCTCACTAACATGTTTCTAGTCATTTAGTTGTGCAAAAAAACATGTTTACCTCCCATGTGTCAGGCACTGTTCTGGATACTAAATACACAACAAAGAAGGATGAAGTCTATTCAGCCTTAAAATACTAAACAAATCACAGTTTATAAATTCATAGCTTCTATATGCTCAAGACCCTCTTAGGAGAAATGGCAACAAATACTCGTTCTTAGCACTTGTATCCAGGTGAAATTTCAACTTGAAAAAGAAATAACAGGTTGCTTCTAAACAGGGAAAGAGTGCAAATGCATTTATCTTTAGCACGAGGAACCTATAATTTGGTTAGGAGATCTGCTTGGTGCACCTTGCATTTTCTTTTAATCTTCCAGCAATGAAGTCAGCTGTAAAGAACTCCAGTGACTTCATTAATTGGATGTTTTGGTTTTGGTAGTACAGACCCACCTCTAAGTCTTTGCACTTGCTGCTGGGACTTCTCTCCTGCTAGGTAGTTGTATGGCACCTTCCTCACTTAATTTAGATCTCTGTCAGATATCAGTCTCTCAGAGAGGCCAGCCCCAATTTCACTGCTAACACTGTGGTGGCTCATCCCTTTCCCCCTTACTCTGTTGTTCTTCAGTTCTCAAACTTATCATAACCTATTTGTTTTCATCTGTCTTTTTTACCAAACTGTAATCCGCATGCAAGAAATGACTTTATTTTGTTCACTACTGTTTTGTAATGTGTTTCTTGGCACATAGTAGGCATTTAATGAATACATTTTGAATGAATTAAGAGGACAAAATTTCATTTGTGTGAGACTATCAGGATCTCTGGCTGGGTAACTTTATTTTATCAGTGTGAGGGACAAGATTATAAAATACAATTGAAATAATTTAAAGCATGGGGCCCCCCTGGTGATGCAAGGAGTTAAGTCTCAGCACTGTGAAGCTATTGGCAGCCACTGCAGCATGAGTTTGATCCCTGGCCAGGGAGCTAACCCACATGGCACAGCAGGGACCTCTCCTGTCTCACCCGCTGCTCCCCTCAGCAGTGTATTTCAGTAGATCCGTCTATTCTGCTCCCCACTCTGTCTCTGGTGAATCCTCTCACCCCCGCCACCAGCACCTCTGGCGTATATACCCCAATTCTTGTATGCATAAATAAATAAATCTTAAAAAAAATATTTAAAGCATGCCCACGATCCTTACTAGGATTAGTCATTTAGGGGAGATGGTTCCAGTAAATGCTCCAAAGAGGAGGTGACAATTAGGGTAAGTCTTAAAGGAGTAAGAGTTTCTGAGGCAGGTAAGGGAACATGGGTGTTGCAAATAGCACAGTGTGAGTACGGGCAGGGAGTTCTGAGAGTCTGGCATCTTCAAGAGCCACAGGGGACCACTGGGTACCTTGAAAATCAGAACATGGAGACAATAAAGATGAAATAGAAAAGTGGGTCATGGCTTGACTGTAAAGAGTCTTTCATATTCACCAAGTTTCTATTTCACCTTTTAAGATAGGAAGAGCCACAGAAATGTGTTTAACAGGGGAGTTTTAGAAGAATATTCTAGCAGGAATCTGAGGAAGGATCAGAGCCAATAGAATAGAGAGGTAATATAGTCCCTCAGTTTGGGAGGACCCCCAAAGTGCTAGGTAAGAGGAGATAACATGAGCCTAAATTAAGACTTTGGGGATGCACAGGGTGGGAACCTTGCCTCTGAATTAACACACAATAGTGACTAACACATACTAAGCCCTCTCAATACAAGTCACTTATATTGAGAAGGACTTTTCTCTTTCTTTTGAAGGACTTTCTTTCTTTCTAGCATAAAAGCTCTAGTGGTAAATACCACAAGTGAAATGTTGGAGTTTTTCCTTATGCACTGGCATGTTCAATTTTAACATCAGTATATGAAAAGCCGAGCAGACATCTTTTTATGAGCAGGTCCTATAGTTGTTTGATTTCTTGTTCCTTGTCATTATTATAACACAAAAGAGCCAAAAGGGGGAGAAATGCATCCTCTTAACAGAACAGCATTTTCGAAGCAAATGTGTTTTTCAAAATATGCAAATTTTGAGTCTAAATATGCTTGACAGCATTCCTTAATTTAAGCATTTTCAGTGTTGAGAAAAGTCATTTAATATACAAGCACTGCCTTTTGAGATATAATATGCAGAGCGGGAGAAGCAGCAAGGTAAAAAAATAATTTAGATAATTAGAATTTCTCTTAGAAAGGAACACCAATAACATTTAAGATTTTGAGGCAGGATTTTCTTGAGGTTAGGAAAGGTTTCTCTAATGAAATAATCAAGTTTCATCACAAGTGTGTGCATATGTGCAAGTTTAACAGGGCTTTCTTTAATTGTTCATATTTCTTTATCCAATCCCACATTTTGGTTTGTTATTTTCTTTACAGAAAAATAATGGTTCTCCCAAGTGTACTCTCCCTTAGCTGACATTAGAGCTTTAGCAAAGATTAATCCATTGTCAATGGGACAGTGAAATAAAAATTAATTAAAATGACACACAGATGAACAAGTTCAAGCACAAAACCAAAGAAACAGTATTTAATATTAAATGAATGTCAATTCATAGTAGTAAGTTAATATCCTAATGTTTAGAAAAATAAAAATATACTAAGATAAATTCACAAATTTTTATTCACCAGTTTCCTGCCAATCATTCTCTCCCATGAGTGGATAAAATATAAATAAGCAAATATGCATCAATACTGGCCTGTGTATATAGACTGACACTATAAATCCATATACTTTTTGAATAAAAATAAATAGCAATAATATTTATGGAAAATGTATAATTTTCTTTTTAAGTAAAGGAAACTTGATTCAGGCCTGCCTAGTGTGCTTCACATTTCTGCATGGGAATTAATAAAGAGGTAGGTGCATTATCCCACCCTGGATTCTCAAGCAGTAGATAGGGGGTGGGACTTCAGGAGTTCTGGTTTTACCACCAACACAGGAGATTCAGGCACAGCCAGTCTTAGGTACCACTGGGCCACAGGACAGACACAGATTGTTATAAACCAGAGATTCTCAACCCTGGCTGCTCATCAGAATCACTTAGGAAACTTAAAAAATACCAAGGCCACAGCCCAGACCAATTTAATCAGAATCTCAGGAGGTAAGATTCAGGCATCAACATTTTTTAAAACTACCCAGGTAATTTTATTTATAAAAGAGTCACTATCATAAAGCCCCAGTTGATTAATGCCAATATTAATTAAAAAATTCTTTTCGTAATTTTTATCAGCAATAGATTCTATTGAATAGATTTATTTTAGAGGTAAACAGGATTTATCTGTGTAATTTTCATTATCTAAAAAAATCAAGGTTTCTAATTCAAACTCATTTTTCTGTATTTTGACATATTACAAATATGAATTTTTTATTTTACTTTATGCTATTTCACAATTTGTCATTGAAGTACACTTAAAATAATATTTACAACTTTAAAAATTACATTAAGGGGGTAAAAATTATTTTTAAAAAGTAGGTTCAACCAGTAGGAAAGACTTCAGACTTTGCTATGGGAAAAAAGGAAAGCTGTGTCAGATCAGTAGGAACATTTTAATACCTAATGCTCCAAAAAAAGAAACATAGATCTGATGTTCATGTGTTTTTATAGACAACATATCCTAATTTCTTGTTGAGTGTTTTCCCTTTTGAAAGAATAAAGTATTTCTCTGATATTGAGTGTTAAAAACAACAACAAACACAAAATCAAAAGAGGAAGATTCATTTTGGTTAACTGAGCAGAAAAGAAGATAAATGCATGCCTATCGTTTGAAGAGAAAAAGAGAGAACATTCCACTAAGATTACATAAGTCATAAAATTACTCAAGGCAGACATGAATGATTTCTTTAAATAGTCATATTTAACCAATAAGTTTAAGCATTTACATAATGTTCCACATACGTGACAGGAAAAACGGTCTAGATTATATTGAAAAAATATAGAACACATCTCAAGGAAGCAGTTAAAAATCTACATTATGATGATTGTTATTTAACAAAAGCACATGCAATTTCCTTACAAAGCTGTCATTTAGCTTGTACAAGCACTGTGTCTAAAGGTGAAAATCCAGTAGCTCACTAAATGTATGTACTTTTTAATTGGCAGCACATTTGCTATAAAGCATCAGAGTATTACAAATAAAGCACTCAATCATGCTGTTCTCATTCGCCACCACATTGAGCCACATGTATATACCTTTCATTGATTTCCTCAAAGGACTTTTGGGGAGTTGGGGGAAGGGAGGAGAGAGAGAGAAAAAAAAAAACAATTAACAACTGAAAGAAAATCAACTTAGAGCGCTTAAGATCAAGCCAGTTCTAAAATCATTACTCTTTGGCTTCCCTGGAGACTGTTTCTCTTGAGTGGCATCAGTCCCCAGGCACCAGGAAATCATTGCTCACAAAGAGAGGTCCAAGCAGGGTTGGAGGGGCTTTAGTTTCCAGCTTTGCTCTGCTCTTTATGATCAGCAAGACCTGGGTTGAGTTTGCTTATGCTCTGCTTCTCTTTATTCATTAACAAATGGTTACCTTCCAGAATAGAAATCTCTGAAGCAAGAAAAGTGACTTAAATTTGCTCAATGTGGCATATATTCCAAAAATGCAATCAGTAGTTATCTCTGAGTGATATCTTCTCTGTGTTTTTCTATATTTTAAAAATTTTGTAAAATGGATATATATCTCTTTTATAATCAGGAAAAAATGCTTCTTTTTATAATTTGTTATTCTAAAGAAAAGAAAATATTCTTTTCAAACAAAGGTACGGTTCTTAGGGAACACAAAGCACTTTATGTTATACTTCACAGGAGATACATAACTTAAAAACATTAAAGCATTGCCTTCACTAAACTTAAAGCAGTGGAATAATTTTCATTCTCCTTTGAGGATGGCTATGTCTACTGCACCCAAATCTGTCCTCACTAGAGGTGTCCGGTGAGAATAATAAAAACCCTAACATTGTCCTATTTTGTCCTGTTCTATCTCCAAAATGTACTAGAGAGCTGAGAGGACTGGTGACCTTTGAAAGGGAGGGCTCTACTCATCATAAGAACATGCTTTCCTAGGCTTTGACTATTAGGTTTGGGGCTGTCCTCGGAGAAAACATCTTCATTCCTCAGGGTTAATCCTGCCTCCCTGGAGAAACATCTAGGAATTATGAGAGCAAAGAGCTAACTCTGGAGCAAGTTGAGGAACACCCAAAGGAATCTCTGTGCAAAAGGCTCTAGTTTGAATTAAGAAAACCTGTTCCCAGAGAACATCTTGTAAAAACATCAACATGGTGCCTAAAAGAGGTGTGTCATGTCTTGCATCCCTTAAAGTGTACCAAAATGCTCCTGTTGGCCCCCCCCGGGTGAGGCTCAGAGGAAACAACCCATAGGAGAGGTTGCTTCAGACTAGGAGTGGGAGCAAAAAGGGTAGGTCCAGGGACCAGCAAGAAAATGCCAGGCGCTAGAAGATCAGGACTCCCAAAGGGAAAGCAGGGCACGTAAGGCTTTCAGGTTGCTTTCTCTCCCTTCCAGAGAGGACCAACCAACTCAGGGTGACAGAAAGGACAGACAGTGCTATGTCCTGACTTCCATGTATCCTTCAGCTGATCTGGGTACCAAGGCTTTGAGGACTTGCTGGCCTTTTCCATAGGCATCAAACAGGACCTAATGATTGCTAAATGCCAGAATTATATAAGCCCCACACTGAGATATAAATGATCTTGGGGAACACTAAAAGATCAATTTTAAAAAGTAGATTTGGGTCAAAGTGGACTTAATTGGCACTTACAGTCAGGAAAACGGTCTCATCAAGCTCCTCTGCTTCTCTCACGATGGTCTCCAGGGTGTCTTTGGCAGTGTCCATGCTCTGCAGAAAGTGGACCATCTGATCGTGCAGGAACTCCATCTTCTTTTTCTTTACTTCCTCAAAGCTCTGGGCTTTCTCATCGTACTGTGCTAAAACCTTCTTCATCATTTCCTCATTCTGCTCTTCTAGCCTTTTCTCATTTTTACTACAGTTTTCCTAAAGACAAACACACACTTCTGAATAAAACAAATAATGCATGTCTTTAAAAAAAATAGAAATACCAGCCTTTTAAAGAACTGACCTCTGGCTTTTTGATAAGAAAATCACACATTATACACAGTGTAAATTTTCCACCCACCTACCCTCTTTGACACAAGTAGCTTTGCAATAGAATTAGTGTAAGAGTATTACCAAGAAGAATTTAGTTAATAAATATGGAAAAAGGCATTTGTATAGAAGTTTTGCCCACTTGCATTCCCACATACGGCTTGAAAATGACAACACAATGAATGAAGACCCCTGGTCTTTAGGGAGTGGAGCAGGTTTAGCCATTTTCACCACGCCACTGAAATCCTAGTGAGTGAGGAGCAGCCAGGAAGTTGTATAGAGTCTACATCCACAAATGCTCTCCACGGGCACTTCCACCACAGTAGGAGACACTTGATTAGCCATCTGTACAAACTCAGATACCTCACTGTCCTCAAAAGCAGGAGGAATGATAAGGTCGTCATATAAATTACTGACTAAAAGGGACACTTTGGGAGGTGCACTAAAAATAATTAGCAGGTGTAAACTGATCTACATCAGGAATTAAACAGCCTTTGACAAGCAAATCAGGATGTGGCACCATCTAATGATAGGAAAACTATGCACCAGTCTTCTGCAGGGACCTTGAGCCCTCTGCCACTCCTGGTTGACAAGTGAGGATGCCAGGGCCATCTCTGTAAATAGATGGAGCATTCCTACCCACTCTCTTCACTGTGAAGGGAGCGAGGCCAGCTACGAGGAGGCCATGAACTCATCAAAGATAATGGTACCAGGGAGACACTCATTTGTCCTGGGCATGGGAGACGGAACAGTATCTGGGAGTGCTTCTGCAGAGCTAGCCCAGTGAAAGGAGGAATGGTGGTGCCAGTAAGAACTCTGACCTGAATTTAAATCTTGTCTCTTAGCTTCCTATGACCTTAGACAATAACCCTAAATCTTAGTTGCTTTTCTAAAAATGGGAAAAAAATAAAATGATCTCATATGGTTACTATGAGATTTAATTGAATAAAACAGGTAAGCATTTGCCCTATCACAGGAAGTCCCCAATAAATGTGTATGCATTTTTTAAGCAGATTAAACTCATTCTATTTATGTACGGCTTTCCCATCACTCAGATACAATTAAAATCAAGCCAAATTATCATGTATGTTTTTATTTGAAAACACTTAAAAAATTATACCAATACTCTTATTTATATATATATATTAAAATTTAGCTTACGCTTACTAGAAGGTACTGATACCCAAATATCTAAGTCACATACACTCACATAAATTAATCAGAGAATATATTTTCATTTCAGGACACTGCAATCATTTACTCTAGCTTATATAAACTTTTTACAAATTAAGACATTGAGAAGAAAAACGTTGAGAATATAATATTTGTTTAGGCCTCACAGAGTAAAAATTTACTCTTCAATCAATGTGTATGCATTTTTAAGGGCAAGTCATTTATCCATAGAAAGTAGTCTCACTGATTATACACCAGAAAAACTTCAAGGACCTTCACTTTTAATGGAACAAAACCAACAATGACAAACAACCAAGCCACACACAAACCCCAAGGGAGATCCTTTTAGCTCAGAATCATTTACTGGTGATACCATAAACAAACCAGGTTAACGTAAAAGGGATACAGTAACTTACCTCAACGGTATTAAAAAAAGATTCTATCTCTCTAACAAAGGCTTCAATCCTCAAGGACTTTTCCTGTAAGTTTTCTAGAAATTCTGCTAATTGAACCTGAAAAAAATTAAGATGTCCTTAGGATATGACACTTAGGAATTTCAAGCAGTAAGTTCTGATTTCCTTATAAATTTAGTACATTTGGTAGAAATTTATTATATCATGTTCACTAAAAAATCAACCTTTAAATATTCATTTCTGCTTCATCTAAATTGACTATAGTTAATTCTGTATGATAAACAATCAGGAGTTTTGTGAAAGAGCACTAGAAAGAGAGTTTATTCTCTCATGAAAGAGAGTTCAAAACATATTTGTTTTAGTGATATATAGATTTGAATTCTTTCTCCTTGGAAAAGCATCACTTTTTATACAATTGTCTTTCTTCTAGGCAGATGTTTTGTTGAACTAGTTCAACATACCCTAGCACTTTCCTTACATTTGCACCAGTGGCCGCAGGTGTGCCTTGGAGGACTGAACTCTGAAAAAGTGATCAGCATCCCCAGGTCTGAAGTCTTGTAACCAAATGATGTCTACTAGGGTACTAATGACCCTCAAAGTGTTAAAATACTCAAGGAGTGACAGGCAACCAGAAAATGTATGGGTGAAGTGTAGGATGCTACCATTTAAATAATAGTTTAAAACCTATAGCTACAATCTATCCTGCTAAACTTTACAAATAACAAGACAAAAACAGCTTCAACTGCCTGACTTGCTACCCTCAAAATGCTAGAGAAATAAGTTTGATGGAAACTGCCATCTCTCCATGAGCTTCCAGGATATCACATAGATCCCATCGTCCCTTGGACTTTTTCTTGTCTTTGTGTACGGTGCCCTGCTCTTTACTGCAGAACTCTGTCTTATTTAAGGCTCACCCAAGTTACAACTTTTCAATACACCTCTCCTAACCCTCCTTGTCCCATTTCACCATTTTATTCACTGCCCAAAGGTTCCTTTCTCAGAACACTATGTTGCCACAATTTAGGGATACTGATTTGGGGAAGCAAGTATATCTTACTTTATTTTCATTTTCATTTCCAATGAAAGTCTTGACATGGAATGGGAAGTTAAAAAACAATGAGAAAAAGGAAGTGAAACAAGTGAAGGAAGAAATAAAAGATCAACAAGAGATAAGTCACCACAAGAGCAATGCAGTTAAGGAGAAGCAAGGACCAGAATAATCTGTAAATGCAAGTGCCAGTGCCTAAATAATCTCTAATGGCCTACTCACAAGATGCTAGAAGATCCTTAAGTTATAATTTTTAATTAGATTTTTAATTTTAAAGAAGTTAAAAATGAACTCCTTATGAAAGTTCATTACGTTGACTTAATGAAATGGAGTAAGTCTCTTGCTTTAGTCAACTAGTTTTCCAGAGAAGATTAGAGGGTAAGAAAACACTTTCAAATGGGTTCAAAGCCGGCCTCCCTGGTGGTGCAGGCGGGTGAGGGCAACGCTGTGAAGTTGTTCGCAGCCTCTGCAGTGCCGGTTCAATCCCCGCCGGCCTCGGAGCAACCCACATGGCGAGCAGACCTCTCCTGCCTTGCCTGCTGCTCCCCTCAGCAGTGTATTTCATCAGTCTGCCTGTTCTGTTCCCCACTCTGTCTCTGGTGAATCCTCTCACCCTCCCGCACATCTGGACTGTACCCCGGCTCTTGTACAAATGAAATAAAAAAATCTTTAAAAAAAAATTGGGTTCAAAGAGCAGACATCTTTAACCTCACTTGAAATTTGTTTTAAATTGACAATATTTAGGCAGAATTACTTTTTAATTTCTAAAACTCATAAACAAAGCAGAATGAGAAAGGTTGAATATACCTAGTCGTCTTTCTGCTGACAGTGCCCAATAGCTGTCAGTTAACAAAATCAAATGTCATCACATAGGGCCTCCCCTGGTGGCACAGCAGTTGAGCGCTGGGCTGTGAAGCTGCCCGCAGCCTCTGCAGCACCGGTTTGTTCCCCGGCCTCCGGCGAGGGCCCCACATGGCACAACAGACCTCTCCTGCCGCGCCCGCTGCTCCCCTCAGCAGTATATTTCGTCACTCTGCCTGTTCTGTTCCCGGCTCTGGCTCTAGTGAATTCGCTCACCCTCCCGTGCTTCTGACTGTACCCAGTGCTTGTATAAATAAATAAATAAATCTTTAAAAAAAAATGTCATCACATAAATGGGGCTAATTTCACAGGTGCTAATACATCCTGGTGTCTGAGATTTCATACAAGAAATAGCCCCATCTCTGAATTTGGCCAGCTAAAGCAAATTTCAACAAAATTTTATGCTGAAGAAGTAAAACCAGTATCAGACACGTTGAGAAAGATTAATTTGGCAGACAAAAAAAAGGCCAAGATTCTAATATGTTATCCTATTGAATAAAAAATGAGACCGACAATTATTTAAGAGTGACCTAATTGAATAATCCTATTGAAAATCATTACCACTAGCAAGGCACTGGGTGGAGCAAAATGGATATATGATCAAGAACAGGATCTGTGGTGGCAGACAGACTGGGTACCAATCCTAGCTCTGTCTTCCATGACTTTGACCAAATCACTTAAACTATATGAGCCCATTTCTTTCTCTGCAAATTAATGACAATGACAGTATTGTTGCAAAGATTTAAAAGATACCTTGTAACTTTAAAAAGTGCCTAGTACATAGTAAGTGCTCAATTCTGTTATGCATGGTATTGTAAGATCATTCTGGCTACTGTATAGAAAATAAATTAGGGCCTCCCCGGTGGCGGCGCAGCGGGTTGAGCGCCATGCTGTGAACCTGTCCGCAGCCTCTGCAGTGTGAGTTTGATCCCGGCCTTCCGGGGAGATTCCCACATGGTGCAGACCTCTCCTGTCTCCCCTGCTGCTCCCCTCAGCAGTGTATTTCTGTCATCTGCCTGTTCTGCTCCCCGGTCTGTCTCTGGTGAATTCTCTCATCCTCACCTCTGGCCTGTACCCACGCTCTTGTATAAAAATAAATCTTTAAAAAAAAAAAAGAAAAGAAATTAAAGAGACAAGGGTAAAAACACCAGTTTTAAGGCTGTAATGAAGGTAGATGAGAATAGCAAAGACTAAATGCTTGATTTCCAATAGTAACTCTGGGGAAGTGGAGTATTTAAAATCACAATACATAAGGATGTGTGTTGTGATTAGTTTTTTTACACTCAGAATCTATAAACATAGCCAGAAAGAATGCAAAAGCTTTCCATTTCTAACATCGTTTTTATAATAAAGAGAAAAAAATGGAGAAAATTGAAATATAAATGTCTTATTCTCTTGAGTATTTTATAAAATTTTCAATAAACTTACTCAATGTAACATACATGTATTTTATAGGATGATATTGTATAAAATAAATCATGTTTTATATTCAAAAGTATATTCTTAATTTAAAATGATTTGACTTTTTTGGATAATGTTAAGGACTACTGCCAACGGATGATAAGACCCCTCACAGTGACCCTGTGTTATTTATTTTAGCCTCCCCAGAACCTAGGAAAAACACCTGACTCAGAGTGTGTACCCAATAAATGTTTTCCAAATTCGAAATTGAACTTAACTGCCTAGGAAATATTCTTTGTTAACTTTGTATTATCTTTCTAGCCACTAGAATGTAACTGGTTACTTTATGCTTAAAGATGTGTGTATCAAATATCAGTCATATTTTCAACTGTGACAAGAAATTAAACGTGTATATATAATTTATATGCATTAAGATCTATTTACCTTTACAGCACTTATAGCTGTGTCAAGCGTTGAAACCTCATGGTCATTATGGGTGCCAAGTATCTTGTCAGTGGCAGAAATTGGACATTTGCAAGTGCAACAATATGTGTCAGTTTGGGATGTTTTCAATTCCTTTTGCTCCTTCTCAGTTACTAAGGATGACGAGAACTGGTCTTGTTCTGTTCTTTCTCTGCCAAACTCTTTCTGTTCAGCGGACATACCTTGTTCCATCTTACTCACAAATTCATTTTCATTGATGTGTTCAAAGCACTCCTTTCCTTGAGATAAAACATCCTCAGACAATGACTCTGAATGTAGTTCTTCTGATAAAATATCTTGAGTAACCACTTCATAATTCAGGGATTCAGTAAATTCATACTCATCCTGAACAGGGCTATTGTGGAGCCTGTCTTCACTTGGCTCAGGTGAGACCATTATTTTAGATTCTTCTTGCACTGTTTCTTGAACACAAGTAGCACCAGATGCAAATTCTTCCTCTGGGAAAGACACTTGTACTGGGATGTTCAGATTGACCTCTGTACTTGCACTTCCTCCATCATTACTCTGTCTGCCGGGTTCATCTACTCTCTCCATGACATTATTGGTGTCTTCAAATGGAACTGCATAGCTTATCTTCTGGGTAGCCATTCTGACTTCCTCAGTGATGGGAATTTTCCTCTGCATGGCTTCATTGTCAAGGGTCTCCACATCAAGTACAGATTCTCCTTCCTTGTAAACAGATTTCCGCTCCTCTTCCAGACTCTTCTTCCCCAAAATAGTTTCAACCCTCCCCCCAATTTTTCCTTCTGCAGTGATTTGTTGGTACAAATCATCCTTACCAACTGGTTTTTCTTCCAGACCTTGGCCTTGGTCCCTTTGAGTTACAGGTGTGTCATGAAGAAAGTCATCTTTGAGTATGTACTTCTCAAAATATATTCCTGTTCCATCATCAGTGTCAGAATTTCTGCTAGGAAACGATGCCTCAGAATTCACACTGTCACCTTCAGAAGCTGTCTCCCCTTCTTTCTTTTTCTCTCCAACTGCTTCTTCATACAAATCCTTGTATAAAAATGCAAGTGCAGGTGGCTCCTCAAGAAGTTCAGGATTAATGGCCTTAACAGTGGTAGGAAATATCTGGGTTGGTGATAAAACTCCTTCCTTTTCATCGAATAAAGGCATCCCAGGTGACTTGGAGTCCACATCTCTATTTATGCTCTTTGGAGCAACTCCGTCAGATAATTTTTGAATATCCAAAGACTTTTGGGTCTCTGGGTGAGATAATTTGCTGTGGTCCTCTTCCATTCCATAAAAACTTTCATCTAATTTCACCAAGTCATATTCACTTTCTAGGGCACTTTCCTCTGAACTTTCTGGGAAAGAGATAACCTCTTCTGTAACTTCCTTTGAGTGTTCTGCTTTAACATTTAATTTCCATGGAGCCTTCTGTTTTTCTGGCACTGGGGAGATATTATAATCAATCAATGTATATTTCTCAAAATAATCCTCTTCACTGGAAATTGTAGGCTGTTTAAAGGCTAAGTCACCAGTTTCTGAATCTAGAGCTATCTCCTCTTCTATATCGTGAGTTTCCTTTTGTTTCTTTTCTTTTGATGATGCTTCTTTTTCATCAGATTCTTCTAACTTACTCTTAGCTTTCTGACAAGGAGCTGCCTCATTATCATGGCGCTGTATAGTTTTAAATGAGGCCTTCTTTTCCAAATATTCTAACTTATCTTTCATTTGTTCACTTTCTTCCTGATCAACTGAAGAAATAAATGCAGGAGCATGAACATTCAGTATTTCACAGCCTTCAGAAATGATACTGAAGGCACTCTTTTGATCTTCTGAAAGTCCAGCTGGCTTACTAGTCACTTTAAATTCATCTTTTACATGTGTGTCTTCAGGCTCTGTGGATATTTCTCTAGTAGAAACCACTTTATTAGCATTGATTGCTGATGCACTAGCTATAAATTGAGTGTAGTTGCTACTTGGCAAAGAGTGTAGTTCATTTCCATGGGCATCTTCTGTAGTCTCCAAGTGGCTCTTTGAAACAAGAACAGATTGTTTAGATATTTCAGATGTTTGATCTTTAGATGTTTGAATGGTATGAACTGTATGCCTATCTGGAGTACTTTCTGACTGTGGTATTTCTTGTTTCTTCACTGTACTAATTTCTGGAGAAGTTCCTGAAACAAGTGTTTGTGGTTTCACAGATGGCACCAGATATGGATGTGTTTCTAAACTCTTTGTTTCGCCCAAAGGACGATCAAAGATCCTTTCAGATTCCTTAGATTGAGATCCTTGTTTCATACTTTCTTTTGTGATATCTAAAGAAACTTGAGATGATTCTGACACTGTGTGCTGTCCCTTTACTTCATTATGACTCACTGTATCCCTGCTTGACTTTTCCAGTGCCAGATTTCCATCTTTAGGTAAGGAGTGGTCATCTATTTCACAAGGATAAGGAAGATCCACTGGAAGGAAAGTCTTGGTTTTTTCCACCAACACTTTACTTTCTTTTAATGTGTGTGGCTGGGTTTCTTCTGCCTTTGTTTCCTTGATTTCCAGGTGAGCTTCTGAAATCCTGGCTTCTGGTTTTTCAGTAATTGATGTAGTTTTACATTCACTGATGTAGCCTTCTACATTCACAGTAGGCTGAATTTCCTGCTGTTTCTTTCTTTCTGAAAATGCATGTAATTGCTTTTCTTTTTCTTCTCCTTTCTCCTCCTTGATAATTTTGTATATTTCTTTGTGGTCTTCATCTTGATAGGACTGTTGCAGCTCAGCTGCAGTTTTTGAGTCTTCCAATTTCAAAGGGCTAGATGCATGTATAATTTGTGCCTGTTTTATTTCATTATTATCTTTAAGTTCTAATGGGGCTACAGTTTCTTGTTTTTCTGCCAAGGAATATGATCTGGTTTCCAAGTTATCTTTCTCTTCAGTTGGGCTAACAGAACTGAGCTTTATTTCCTCTTCAGCAATTTTTAAGGAAGTAGGTTTTGGCATTTCTTTCTTAAGTCTGTCTTCACCAAAATCAATTAAACTGCCTTTAGATTCCTCTACTGGCAAAATTATTGACTCTGGCTCCTTAGATTCCTTCATGATATTTTCACCTGTGAAGCTAGATGAAGCTGATTTTGGCTCTTGTGGCACCTTATCTACTGCATCAAATGAAAAGAGTAATTTTTCTTTTTGATCACTTCTGGGCTTTTTGTTAACAACAGAAACATTCCATTTAGATGGAGGAGAGATTGCTGGTGCCTGGACTTTCTTACTATCAGTGACATGAAGAGGAACAGCATTTTTGGTTTCTTCCATAATGGATTTCTCACCTATGGGGGAATAAGATTGAATCCCAAGACACTCCTCACCATCAGCTGATTTAGGTTCCATCATAGTCACTGCTTTTTCCACTGATGGACTTGGCTGAGTTTCCAAATCTTCTTTTTCAGCAACTTTGTTATCTGGAGTATGTGATCTAAAAAACAAACTGGACATCCATGATGTGAAAGATGAAATTCCTTTCTTTCCCTTTTCTTCAGAAGGGCTTGGCTCAACTGCCTTTGGCCCCTCAGGCAGCTTTTGAGTCACCTCAGGTAGCTTTTCAGTCACCTTAGGTGACTCTGGAAGTTGAGATTTTTCATTACTTTGGACTGGGGAGAGAGGTTTTATTTGTGTGGGTATTTTCACTTCAGGTTTCTCCCTTTCATTAGTTTCATCTATGCCCACTGATTGAACAATTTTTGAGTTCACTACTGGTTTCTCTCCAGGTATAGGCGATATACCCCTTTGTGCTTCTTTTTCATTGCCCAACGCAGATTCCACATCTTCTGCCAGGAAATGCGGTGCTTTGGGAGGAGAAGGAATAGTTTCTGATTTGAACTGTTCCATTGATGAGCCAGAAACTGGTTTCTGAAAGATTCTTTCAGGAGGTAGTTTGATTTCTTCCTGGTTGTCTTCTTTGCAAGATCTGGAGAACTCTGATTTTGCTCTCTCCAATATCGAACTTTCACTCCCCGCGAAAGAATGGCTCTCCTTTCTTTCTGTGTCATTTCCTGCTAGAACTAAAGATTTAGGTTTGGGGGCTAGCCTTATTTCTTCAGAAGAGTAAGTTTTAGTTGATGAGGTCTCTATGTTACCACTTGTGGTATCAAGAGTAGATACTGGTTCTCGTAATGATAAATGTGATTCTTCAGCAAAATGTGGCAAAACCTGCTTTTTGGTTTCATCTGCATGGTCTTCATCTGATAGAACAGGCTTGAGTGATCCTGTCACCAGATCACTGGGGCCAGAGGTACCCAGTTGCACAGATGACGGTTCTCTTTCTTCATGATGACTCACTAGATCCTGCTCAGGCTTGTCTAACATCCAGTTTTCATCCTTAAGAGAAATAAGGGCCTCCTTCAGTTGTGTTTCTTTAAAAGTTTCTCTCTCCACTGCCTTTTGTTCTTGTCATCACTGAGGGTAGGAAATGCTGGAGCAATCTCTTCTGACACTGAATTTCCCAGTTTAGTAAAATTTGCCACTTCCTCATTTTTGTCTTTTGGCATTATATGTTTGGATGCGAGTGACACGTTTTGTGAGGAAGGAAGTTCCATTTCCTTTTTCTCTATCTTATCACCTAGGTTGAGTGAAAGCCCAAGTTCACGTCTTGATATCTCTGAGGCAGACCCAGAATTCTCTTTCTGTGATGAAACCAAACATTCAGAGTCAAGGACTGCAGAAAATGAAAATCCTTGTTCCTTTCCCCCCCTTTCTTCCTTAGATACATCTGAATGCTGAGAAGACAATACATGGGTTATTGGCAACCCGGGTTTAAAATCTTCAGGTTCTACCTCTGACAAAATAGAATGCTCTGATATAGAGAATTTGCTTGGAGGTGAATCAAATTTAACTTCCCCCTCTGCTTCTGACCAAGCTGAATGTTTCCATGTAGCAGTGTCAGCGGGAGAAGAACTGCCTTCAATTTCTCCCTTCTCTTCTTCTTTCAGAACTGAATGTTTATCTATAGATGTTACTGTTGGTAGCAAACCACTACCTAATTCACTCTTTCCTACTTTTGTTAAGACTGGTTGTTCTATAGGACTGGATGAATCTGCTGGGATTTCTTCTTTTGCTAAATTTTTTAAGCTTGAGTCTTGCTCAGTTACAGATGTGGTGATTGAAGAACTGGTTTCAGTATCTTGCTTTATTTCTTCTGACAATGGTATAAATTTTGATGCAGGTGGTCCATGTTTTATTACATTTTCTACTCCTAATGAAGGTGAACGTAGCTCTCCAGCTGTACCTGTTATCTTAGAATCAGGTTTCACCTTTGCTTTCTCTGGTGATAAAACCTCAAGTCCAGATAAAGATGTTTCCAATATAGGTGAATACGACTTCATCACTTCAGGTTCATTCTCTGACAACAGTCTCTGTTCTAGTTCAGACGAAACGGTTGGAGCTAAACTGGGTTTGACATCCTTCTTTGGCTCATCTACCAAGTCAGGCAGAATTGAATATTTCATTCCAGACTCTGGAACATTTGGAAGCAGAGGCTCCATTTCTTGATCCCGTGATCCATGTGCAGTAGCTTCTGCAGAATCAGGCATCATCTCTTCCTCACTTTTAACTTTTAGCAAATCCATCTGTTCATTTGCAGCTTTTGGAGTGAGTGATGCTTTGGGTGCTTCTTTCTCAATTGCACGAATGGAATCAGGTGACACTGAACACTGAGTTGCAGGTTTGGATTCTTCTTTTACCATGGATGATTGTGCAGGTAAAGAAACGGGTGTTGCAGATAGTGGCGAACTAGACTCAATTTCTCCCTTCTCTGATACTCTGGTGAAATCTGGTGAAATCAAGCCTTCAGAATCAGGTTCAGAAGATGCTTGAGATCTCTGCTTCTGTAATGAAACGAGATATTCAGATACAGATGTTGAGGTTGCTTGAACATCTGGTTTAATTTCTGCTTTCTCAGTTTTATATGTTGAAGGCGGCAGACTTGCATCTTCACGGGCAGATATTGAAGGGCAAGTTTCCACTTTTTGTTTCTGTGATGAACTGAGATGCTCGGGTACAGGTGTAGCAGCTGCTGGTGCAATTTCTTCTTCATCTGCTTCTGAAAAGCCAGAACATCCTGAAGCAGACATTGCAGTTAACAGCAAATCAGGCTCAATTTCACTTTTCTTTGTTTCTGAGATTCTGTATGGTGGGATTGAAACTTGTGATGCTGAGTCTGGAGAAAAAAGCTCAGCTTCAGTGTCTTCATCTGACAAAATCGTGTGTTCAGATGGTGATGTTAAACATATTGGAGAATCACTCTCAATTTCTCTTTTCTCTGTTTCCCTAGTCACAGAGGGTGAAAATGAGAATTCTGACGCAAATGCAGAATCTGGAGAAAAAGGTCCAATATCTTCTTGCTCTTCTTCTGAGAAACTCATGGGTGAGAAGACACCTTTGAGATTTAAAGATCTGTGGTCAGTTTCCTCCTCTTGTGATTCTGGTGTTGCATATGGTGGTACTGAAAACTCAGAAGCAGAGTTGGAAGAAGGTGTGTACCGTTCTATTTCTATTGTCTCTTCTTCTGATAGAACCATTTGTTCAGATAGAGTGCCTGAAAGCGATGGAGCCTGGCATTCAGAGTTCACCTCAGCTCTGTGTGGTGGAAGAGTGTGTTCAGTTGTAGGGGCCACATCTGGGGAAAACAACCCAATGTCCTCCTTCTCTTCTTCTGATGGAATCTTGTGCTCAGAAGCACTTTTTGATTTTAATGGGGAAACATCTTCAATTATTTTCTTTGTGGATTCCTGTGTTGCATCTGGTGGAGCTGCAGCGTGGGAAGGCAATGTTGACTGTGCTGCATGAAGTTCACTTTCCGGGGCCTCTTCTCCAGGCAGGACCATATGCTCCAGTGTTGCTGCTGAGAACAGTGGTGAAGTCTTCTCAGTTGTGGATGGTGAGAGAGACTGTTCAGATGCAGGGGCCATATCTGGGGAAGACAACTCAGTGTCTTCCTTGTCTTCTTCTGATGGAATCTTGTGCTCAAAAGCATCTTTCGATTTCAATGGGGAAACATCTTCAATTATTTTCTTTGGGGATTCCTGTGTTGCATCTGGTGGAGCTGCAGTGTGGGAAGGCAATGTTGACTGTGCTGCATGAAGTTCACTTTCCGGGGCCTCTTCTCCAGGCAGGACCATATGCTCCAGTGTTGCTGCTGAGAACAGTGGTGAAGTCTTCTCAGTTGTGGATGGTGATAGAGACTGTTCAGATGCAGGGGCCATATCTGGGGAAGACAACTCAGTGTCTTCCTTGTCTTCTTCTGATGGAATCTTGTGCTCAAAAGCATCTTTCGATTTCAATGGGGAAACATCTTCAATTATTTTCTTTGGGGATTCCTGTGTTGCATTTGGTGGAGCTGCAGCGTGGGAAGGCAATGTTGACTGTGCTGCATGAAGTTCACTTTCCGGGGCCTCTTCTCCAGGCAGGACCATATGCTCCAGTGTTGCTGCTGAGAACAGTGGTGAAGTCTTCTCAGTTGTGGATGGTGGGAGAGACTGTTCAGATGCAGGGGCCATATCTGGGGAAGACAACTCAGTGTCTTCCTTCTCTTCTTCTGATGGAATCTTGTGCTCAAAAGCATCTTTCGATTTCAATGGGGAAACATCTTCAATTATTTTCTTTGGGGATTCCTGTGTTGCATTTGGTGGAGCTGCAGCGTGGGAAGGCAATGTTGACTGTGCTGCATGAAGTTCACTTTCCGGGGCCTCTTCTCCAGGCAGGACCATATGCTCCAGTGTTGCTGCTGAGAACAGTGGTAAAGTCTTCTCAGTTGTGGATGGTGAGAGAGACTGTTCAGATGCAGGGGCCATATCTGGGGAAGACAACTCAGTGTCTTCTTTCTCTTCTTCTGATGGAATCTTGTGCTCAAAAGCATCTTTCGATTTCAATGGGGAAACATCTTCAATTATTTTCTTTGGGGATTCCTGTGTTGCATTTGGTGGAGCTGCAGCGTGGGAAGGCAATGTTGACTGTGCTGCATGAAGTTCACTTTCCGGGGCCTCTTCTCCAGGCAGGACCATACGTTCCAGTGTTGCTGCTGAGAACAGTGGTGGCTGGCTTTCTGAAGTCTTCTCAGTTGTGGATGGTGGGAGAGACTGTTCAGATGCAGGGGCCATATCTGGGGAAGACAACTCAATGTCTTCCTTCTCTTCTTCTGACAGAATCTTGTGCTCAAAAGCATCTTTCAATTTTAATGGGGACATATGGTCAACTGTTTCCTTTAGCGACTGTGTTGCTGAATGTAATGGAGCTGAATATTCTGAAACAGAAGTGGAATCTGGTGTGTGACGCCCACTTTCTAAGAACTCCTCCTCGGACAGGGCCATGTGTTCTGGGGTAGCTGCTGAAAACAGTGAGGACTGGCCTTCTGAAGTCTTTGCAGTTGTGGATGGTGGGAGAGAGTATTCAGATGCAGAGGTTGACACTGGGGAATAAGGCTCAAGGTCCTCATTCTCTTCAGACAAAACTTCAGGTTCAGATACATCTTTACCACTGGATGGAGAAATTGACTTGACTTCTTGCTTCTCTAGTTCATGGTTCAAATCCTGAGGGACTGAACATTCTGACACAAAAGCAGAATCCACAGAAACAGACTCACTTTCCTCCCTTTCATCCTCAGACAACTCGACATGTTCAGGAGTAGGTATGAGTTTTGAAAGAATGGGCTGCTCTTCCTTCTGCTCCACTTCAGGGACCAAAGGAGGAGGGAAGAGCTTCTCAGAAATGAATGGACTCTCTGGGTAACCTTCTTCTATGAACTCTTCTTCTGCTAAGTTAGAATCTTTAGGTTCAGGCATAGCAGATATTGGTAGAGAAGTTTCTATTTCTTCTTTCTCTGGTTTTTCTAACACTAGAGATTCAGAAAGAGAAATGGATGGTTCAGGCACATTTTCTTCCTTCTCTCCTCTGACACTGGGATGTGAGGAAGTCAGTTCTTCAGAGACTGATTCTGCCTTTTCTAGTGAAGCCAGGTCCAGTTCTTCTTTCTCTAGGCCAAAACCTTCCTGGAAAGATGCTGCCAGACCTGGTGAAGCTGTTTCCAAAGACTCCTTCTCTGCCTCCAGTGAGATGGAGTGGTCATCAGAATACATGTCTTCCCTCTTTTCCTCATCCACTGACAGTGGTGAGACTGCAGAGTCAAGCCCTGAATTTACAGTTTCCTGTAAATCAGGCTCAAATTCTTCCTTTGCTGTTTCCAGGAATACAGTCTCAGATGCACCAGGTATGAGAGAGGAAGCCTCCATGTCACTGGATTTTGCTTTATCACCTGGGACTGATGGTGGGGTGATAAGCTCATCTTGTTGTGCTGTGTCATTACTCATAAAAGAGGAAACTGTATGCTTGTTGGCAGGTGTGCCCTTTTGGGGAGAATCAATATGCATTTTCTTTTGCTCTTCATGACTGAATAAGGAGGTCAGGGACTTTGACCCTTTGGAAGAGCGTGCACCTCTCCAAGGTGAAGTGAGCTCTTTTATTTTATCATCTTCTACATTTTGGGCTACTAATTTGCCTGTTTTGGAAACTATGTTAGAATCACTATCTGGCTCTAGACTAATGGATGCCTCTTTCCCCTTCCTATAATGTATTTCTTTAATTACATAACCCTTTGGTAATGTTCCATAAAACTGGAGTGGAATTAATTCTTCTTTAACCGAATTAAACATCTTAATTTTATATTGTACGGTTCCTATGTAGACTGGCTTTAACACAAATGGCTTATGTTCTTTGTATATTGCCCCAGTAATAGGTGGTGTATTGGAGGTGGTCTTTTTTCTTATTTTATCATAAATGCCAATAGATGACATCTCTTTTTGAATGTTTAGTTCCTGGCTTTCTGAAATTAAAGGATTTTCTTTTTTGTTTTCTGGAACATCTTGAGATTCCAAAAAATTTCTTTTTTTGTTGCCTTTCCGACGTAATGATGGTGAGCCATGCTTTGATTTAGGCCTTCTTTTCCGAGCCTTTTTAACTTCATCCACAATGAAGGAAACATTCCCTGGAGGAGAATTCAGAGTTGACCCTTCCAAGCTACCTACTCCGGAAGTGTGACTTTCTTCTGAAGCCCAAGGAGTGGAAGACCTACTTGAGTTGGTTTCCCAGGTTATTCCACTATCTTCCTGTTGAACTGTCACCATGGAAAAGGAGGGGTCAGAGATTATACACTTCTCTTTGGTCTTGCCCTCTTCATCCTGGTCTGATAACCTATGGTAAATAATAGTAATATTAATAATTACATATAATAACAGTAATATTATAATAATTACTTATTATAATAAGAAGTAAGTATCATACTTTAACCAGGTAAAGGATAAACATAAAATTAAAATATATAGGAACTATTGCCATCCATATAAAAAATTTGAAGTTAAATTCACAACATTCCCTTATCGGGATTGCTCCCCTGGCCTCCCGGTCACTTGGGCTCACTCTGGACCTTCATAACATTAATTACACCTGCGTTCTCTGTTAATAGGCTGACCTAGCTTTTATCATGTCACCCTTTGATTATTCCATCATCATTTTAACTGGTCAGCTGATATCACATCCCACTCTCTCCTACCAGCAAGCTATCCTGTCCATCTTTTCAAACCAGCTTTTCTAAAAATTTTCATCATGCCACTCCCTTCTCAAAAATCTCTGTAAATTCCTTGCACCTGTAGAAAAACAAGTTCAAAATCTTTAGCTCTCTAATCCTAGCTGACCTTATTTTCAAGGGCCCATTTTCAGCCACCCCAGTGGCATATTTCCATTTTAACTACATAATTCGCTCTCTGATAAATATGGGAACCCTTAGCCAGGAAAAATAGATCACTGAATATAATAAGATCACAAAAATTGCCAGCCTACTGTGCTGTACTCTTCATCTGTGAGCCAGGGATTTTAGTAGAATCCAGCCCATGAGGTTGTTGGGAAAATTAAATTAGACACACAAAATGTTAGGAAAAGTGCCTGGCATGTAGTTAGTGCTCAGTAAATATCATTTATAATCAGGTCTTCCTACAACCTTTGGACTAGAGATCTAGGGAGCCTGTGTGTGGGCATTTTCAGCTGCTAGCAGTGTTTGCAAAGACAGTCTCCACAGACTTTTCTCATACTCTCTCAGGAGGTAACTGGATTTGGCTGCCCCTTTGGGGCTTCAGTTGTCATTGAACTTGTTTTAGATTCCACAGCACTCTTCTCTGGAATTTTCCCTCCCCTGTATTCCCACTGTTCCTTCCTTTAGACAGCCTATCCACCACCTTACTCCATCTTTTCTATATCTAATTTCTATCTAATCTTCAAGGCTTACCTTGAGAACCTCCGCTGTTATGATTCCTGGCCATTACTTATTTTCACTTCATAAATAATAAGTTCAAGATTAAAACTCCAAAGGCTATGTCTTTGAATTCCTGCATATTTTGAGATTCCTGCATATTTGGAGTTTATGTGAGATTATTGAACAGGCCACTCTTCAGCTGTGTGACTTTGGCTTGTTCCTGTACCTCTCGGTGCAGATTTCTCAAGTATGTGAGATAGCAGGACGCCAAGGGCTCTACCCTATATTCATCCACTCTAGGAACAATGCTACAATTTGAGATAAATACAAACTACTACTGACTTATATTCTTTCCACAACAATAAGAATAGAAAAAGAAAGCAATAAGAAAAGAAAAAGAAAACAAAAGACAAATTTCAATGCTAAAATTTATTAATTGTAACTATAAAATGAAGGCACTTTTTAAAAAATGTGCAATTGGGTCTCCGCGGTGGCACAGCGGTTGAGCGCTGGGTTGCGAAGCTGCCCGCAGCCTCTGCAGCACTGGTTTGATCCCTGGCCACGGGGCGAGGGTCCCACATGGCGTGCAGACCTCTCCTGCCGCGCCTGCTGCTCCCCTCAGCAGTGTACTTCGTCAGTCTGTCTGTTTTGCTCTCCGCTCTGGCTCTGGTGAATTCTCTCATCCTCCCACACTTCTGACTGTACCCAGTGCTTGTATAAATAAATAAAATAAATCTTAAAAAAATTTTTTTAATTAAAAAAATGCAATTAAAATAGCTGTCCTTTGCTAATAATTTATTTTAATTCATCACTGCTAATATCAGTGGTTCTCAACTCTGGACACACTTTAGACTCACCTATGGGGAGCATTTAAGAAATGCAGATATTATGCCATATCCCTCACCAGGGACTCTGATTTGATTATACCAGGTTAAGGTCTAGGCATTGATGGTTTTTTGTTTAAAAACTTCCAAGTGACTCCAATATATAACCAGAATCGAAGACCACTGACTTAAATAATCCTAGCTATGAAACTTAAATAGTGCATACTTTCTTGCTTATTTTGAACCCTTCCTATTTTGTTAGGTTAGGCTGAAGGTCAATGTCCTTGCAAGCACATTCTACTTCCCACTCTCAAACTTTGGAGTTTTCCAACAGACTGCTACAAAGAACTATGGATCACTGAGATCCTGATCTCCTTCACTCTCACCAAGCCAGGTGGAGCCTGGGACATCCAGAGCCCTCACTGGTCTTCAATAGCAAGCAGCCTCATTTATTCACCCAGTGTACCATAAATAATATCATTTTTCTACACATGCTGTGGGTACAAAAGGTTGGAAAGCAGTGGGAAGAATTATTTTCTCCATTTCCTTGGCAACTCTGCTCTTACTTATTTGCTTTGGTATTCAACTACTGAACTTAATTAGGAATAAATATCCTATTTTGGTTCAGGACTGAAACTTATTTAAAAAATTTTCTTCAAGTTCTTTTACATGCCTAATTAAAATTATTTCTCAGAATTTTCAATTCCTACTACCTCTTCTCCTTTTAATTTAACTTAATAGAAGGAGGAAAATTAAAAATTAAGATTATGACATGCATCGGGGAAGTCAGCATTTTGAATGCCCATGATTGTAGTAGTTACAAAGCTATTATAAATTCAATTTAGAGTTAATTATTGATTGTAAATTCAATGTACTCAGCCAGAGAAGTTTTCATTACTAGCTAGAATGAGTTCATGAGTAGTTAGCAGAATACCCAAATGGTGTCATAAGAAGATAAAGTCCTACAGAGGTGGGATCACTCAGTCGTTTACTTACTCACTCACTCATTTATTTCTTAATTTAATAAACTTTTATTGAGTCTAAATACTAACAATACAAATACAAGGACACAGAATCTTCTCTCAAGAAATTAAAAATCGGGGGCCTCCCCGGTGGCGCAGCGGTTGAGCACTGGGTTGCGATGCTGCCTGAAGCCTCCGCAGCACCGGTTCGATCCCCGGCTGCTGTGGTCCCACATGGCGCGCAGACCTCTCCTGCCGCCCGCTGCTCCCCTCAGCAGTGTACTTCGGTCCCTCTCCCAGCTCTGGCTCTGGTGAATTCTCTCACCTCCCGCGCTACTGACTGTACCCAGTGCTTGTATAAATAAATAAATAAATCTTTAAAAAAAAAAAAAAAGAAATTAAAAATCTAACTGGGAGACGAACTAAACATTTTAATATGGTGTGATAAGTACTGTTACAAAAAATATGAGAGATACAGTGAGTACATAAAGAAGGGAATACTTCACATAGGAAAGATACTTGGGTTGAATTTTGAAGAGGAAATAGGAGTGTGCCAAATTGATGAGGCGTGGAGGTATTTGAGAGGATGAGGAGGGCATTCCAGGAAAATGTCATAGAAAATGCAAAATGTATATATGAATAAATCATTCTCACTCACTGATAAACGCAAGATATTTTGGGATATTTGGATTAGTGGAGAGAAGCAAAGGAACAGAAAAATCACAGAGCCAAAAAGAATCATATAATGACTTCTTTGCATGTGGAAAGCCGAGACCCAAGTATTCATATTACACTCAGTAAAGAAACAATTTCTCTCTGTAGAAGGGAAATGGTTCCCATAGAGTTCACAAATGCATTTAATACTCAGAAACACAAGTGTTCTCATCGATGTGACGATACACACACACACATACACATATGTATATATGTATAAATATATATATAATTTTTACAGTTAATGGATATTGGTTATTGATATCATCTCATCTGTTTTCTGGTTCTCACAAAGAAACCTTGTGATTATTGCTTGACCTCCCATATAAAGTTATCTGTGGGCAAGAGGAGTGACACACTGGATAACTTGAGTAGCTCACTTTCTTCCCCTTTCAGAGTTGGGCAAAGGGAAGATTCAGCAGATCTAACTTAGATCCAAGAAAAGAATAAACTAATACCAGAACTAAGTGCCAAAGATGACTCTTTCCTTTTGAGGATAAGCTTTATTTGATTAAAGAGGTTTCCACTTTCTGTTCTCATTTGTTAAAAGAATTTTTTTAATGTGAGTCAATGTTAAATTTCATCAATTTTATACAACTATATAGATAATCAGATCCCTTATTGTGTTAATTTGATGAATTGCAACAATTGATTTCCAAATGTCAAACCAACCTTGAACTTCTGGAATGACTTCAATGTGGTTGTGATATAGTATCACAATAATTTGTTTACTAATAATTTGTTTCAAACTTTTGCTCCTGTCTTCATGAATAATTGGCCATACAATGTGCAAGTGAGTGCACCCAAGTCCTTTACCCTAGGCCATGGGGCTCACTATCCACTTTGTTCCCATTCCCTCTAGTAGCCTCTCAAATTGAAAAATTTTTTTAAAGATTTATTTATTTATTTATACAAGCACTGGGTACAGTCAGAAGTGCGGGAGGGTGAGAGAATTCACAAGAGCCAGAGCAGGGAACAGAACAGTCAGAGGGACGAAGTACACTGCTGAGGGGAGCAGCAGGTGGCAGGAGAGGTCTGCGAGCCATGTGGGACCTTCGCCCAGCGGCTGGGGATGGAACCAGTGCTGCAGAAGCTGTGGGCAGCTTCGCAACCCAGGGCTCAACCACTGCACCACGGGGAGGCCTTCAAATTGAAATTTTTAAAGAGGAAAATGGCCAACCATCAAAGTGAAGCTACAAAAATAATTATTTCCATTATTTCATCATCAACATCTTCATTTTAAATTGGCACTCATTTTTAAAGGCAAAAAAAAAACCACCCTACACTTCTGAAGAAATGAAACAAGTCCTCAAACTTTTTATCTAGAAGCTAATATTTATAGCTATTATATCTTTTTTTCTGTTAGACTCAAAATTTGTAGTTTAGAAACTGGTTAGTCCTTTCTTTTGACCAGCAGCTAAAGTGACATTTAGAAGCCTCACTGGT